CATCCGTGTTTCCCGTCTACAGCTGATGAAAAGCGATGTGGCAAAGCCAGCGTCGCAGTTTCAGACTTTCCCAGGTTTCATTATCAGAGGATGAAGGCTCTGTGGTGATGTCACTGCAGACACTTCCCTACAAGCACACAAACTATGTGTGTCAGTCTTCACATGAACAAACAATTGACCTAAATCAGTCTCCTCAGAACTTAAGCTCAACATCTGGAGATGCAGGTGAGCATGTGAAGCTCCATCAGACTGTTTCTGATGATGGACATTATGAAAGCTGGTTAGCTTTGACTGTTCGTTAGCTGCTGATGCTGTTTGTGTCACATCATGGTACAGACTGTAACCGAGTCACATGGCTCTGTGCTGTGCACACAACAGCTCCATAGAAACCATGGACTTGTGCACTGCAGCTACTCTCACATCTGTCTGACACTCGGCGAGCATCAGCGTCTGTTTGGACAGTGGACAGCTTTCTGGTTTTGTGTGTTAACCTTCAGTGTAAGAAACACGCCTCCTGGGATATTACACAGCTGTCCCTGCTCAGGACAAACCTCAGGATTAGAGTTTCAGCAAAGGAAATGCATCAGTCAGCTTCACCATGAAACAAAGAAACAGAGTGAACATGAAGCAGTTTAACGTGAGAGGAAGAAGCGTCTGTTGGTCAGTAAAAGTGGGAGGCACAAATAAATGTGCCAGAGTGTCAGTCAGCATAGCGAACCAGCCGTGTGGATACAGTCCAGTCACACAAGTCCTGCACTGTAGTGATGCATCAGCAATAAGTGTGTGTGCCACAGCTTTTAGCTCCTTCCAGAGCCTGTTTCTCTTTGTCATATCAGTGCGACCAACAACTGCCACATTACGACCTACTCAAATGATCAATTCCATCCTAATACAGAGCTGCAGCCAATACCAGGCCACCGCTGCGGCGCCGGGACGTTCCAGGTGAACTTCCAGGATTTCCTTTCTGTGAATGATAGTAAATGATTACCTGGATCACAACACAGCAATGGGACGAATGCTCTCAGCCTGCCCTCCCGTTCATCCAGGCGTGTGCTGACGTTAGCATTAGCATTGGCAGTATCAAAGAAGCATCTGTAAAACAGATCAGGAAAGTTTAATCTGTGCAGGTTTTATATTAGTAAAAATGTCCCAGAGCCCAAAAATGTCTGAATATTTAAAGTGTTTTCCATCATCACAGTGGAAAGTCTCAAACAGGGAAACACTAGTGTACGTGTACACAGTGTTTGTACCGAGGGAACGTAATATCTGAAGCTATGTGAGTTTCATATAGACATGAATGGAGGGGACGCTTTCCTTTTTGATGACATGCTGAGAGGAGCCTAAACCACCACGGTTCCTTTGTATGCACGCAGGAAAAACATGTGGAAGCTCCTGATGCTGTACGCTGCGTCAGTGGTTCCCAAACCTTTTTTGCTAGGCCCCCTAATTTTACAAGAATATTCAACAACTGTCAACACATTTTTCCAAAAATGTCTCTGTGTGCAAAATGGGTTTAAAAGCCTCAAACTGTGGGATACAGTCTGTCCATGAGTTGAAGCGGGGAACAAACTGTGGCAGGATCCGTGTTTGTGCCGAGGTCGGTATCAGCGACACAATGTGTTCCTCCTGCGTCAGTGGCTGGACACCAGTTTACTCCATTATAGACAGTTAGACGTGGAAGTAGTGATGTTTTAGTTTTGTGAACGGTGAGTGTGGTTACATTACCATTCTGTGGGAGCCAACAACAACAAAAATGTATCCATAACTCCAAATTTTGGGTCATTTGCTCCGTCGTGGAACGCACACTCAAAACCGGACCGCAACAACTTGGCGCTTTCGAGAGTACGTTTGCTGATAGTAACGCTAATAATTCAGCTAACAACACAAGGATTTCATCATCTGTGAAGCCAAGCTGAAAATAATCAGCAATGTGTGCATTCATGACTGTAATACTGCTAGCTTAGCTGTAGCATTTGTAGCTGAGGGCTTCAGTTTCCGGGTAACAAGGAAATGACGGCATTCACGTAGATTACTGATTGGCAGCGCTAACTCAACATTTTGAGAGAAGTCAAAATTTCGAGCTACTTTTCTCAAATTTTTGAGTCAAATCAAAAATTTTGAGAAAATAACTCAAAATTTTGAGTTATGTGGATACTTTTTTTTAGTGGTGGAAACGGCCTCCATACCATTCAGTTTGAGGTTACAACAGAAAATTATATATTTATTGTTCTCGTGTGGTGTCGGACGGGACTATTTTAACAAACGAAGGACATTTTGCCTGATAATTACTTTTATCCTCCTGTAACTGTACAAAGTGCTAACATCTCCAAAGTTTCAGGAGTAGTTAGTCGTTATAAGAAGCGTTTGTGAACTAAAAATCAAGAATGTGGGATCCTGTTTGTCCGTGATTTGGAGAGCCCAGCGCACGCAGGGGAAACTCATTCTGTCGGCACGACAGCTGCTGTTCTAGTCTTTGGCTTGGAAGCATCTTTGACGATGCTTCAACCTCTGCTTTGCGTTTGTGTCCATTATACTAGCAGTGTTTTCTTATAAAAATCATACTGCGCCCCCCTGCAATGGCTCTGTGCCCGCCACTTTGGGAACCACTGCACTACATCATGATTACTCTGGAAGCAGCATCGTGCACTGCTTGAAAGTAACACTCCCTCTGAAAGTTGAAGCTCAGATAAAGCCTTGATCAGAGACAGGAGAATGATGCATGTCCGACGGCAGGCCGGGCCGTCCGGCGGCAGGCTGGTGCTCTCCCATTTTAAACAGGTTTTTAGGATGTGCTCTGATGATGGTGTCGATGTAAGAACTGGTTTTGATTCGTACCAAAGTTCTGGATTGTGAGTCACGTTGGTGTGAAGCCATGTTCCTTCTGGATATGTAAATATGACTTTTGTTCTCCTGTGTCAACAAAAGCAGAGCAGCAAATGGCTTCCGTTGCATAACGTGCGATCAGGAGTCCACGCTCTGATCCTTTTAGCATACATCTCATTCCTGAGATTCTTCAATGCCTCGATCCAGCAGACCGTCCGCCCACTACTTTTCACTCGGCTCAGTTGGCAGATCGTGTTATTCCGGTGTGTTCAGTAGACGTGCTGCATGATTCATGTTGAGTACATCTCCTGAGTGTCATTGTTAGCCTGGGCTCTGATTGATCCGCTATGGAAATCTTATTTATTACCATATGTTT